AGAGAACAGGTCACAGTGAAGTGAAGTGGACTCTCTAGGAGCTTCCTTCTCTGGAAGGCATAAATTTGCTTTTAAGAACATAGGAATTTTCAAAGACTACCTTTTTTTCTTTTGCTCTGCCATGAATGCTTCATCGCAGTTTAAGCTTCCAGGCGATTCCAGGCTCTGGAAACCTTTTGTGTGTTTCAGAAGTGAATTCTTGATTAATCTGCAGCAAAAGGAGTATCCAGATATTCAAAATAGGTCTCCAAGATGATTCACATGTCCTGTAGAGGGTTATTGCGTAGCAGCTCTTCAAAGAACAGACTTTGCTCTGTCTCTAGGGGTAGTGAGTTAACTCCAAGCTGCTCCAGCTCCTACTGTCTGACACCAATTAATTTTGGCAGTGACCCCAGGTGATAAGTCTATCATAGCATGGAAGGCATAAATTTGCTTTTAAGAACATAGGAATTTTCAAAGACTACCTTTTTTTCTTTTGCTCTGCCATGAATGCTTCATCGCAGTTTAAGCTTCCAGGCGATTCCAGGCTCTGGAAACCTTTTGTGTGTTTCAGAAGTGAATTCTTGATTAATCTGCAGCAAAAGGAGTATCCAGATATTCAAAATAGGTTTCTGAGATGATTGACTTGTCCTGTAGAGGGTTGTTGCATAGCAGCTGTTCAAAGTACAGACTCTGCTCTGTCTCTACGGGTAGTGAGTTAGCTCCAAGCTGCTCCAGCTCCTACTGTCTGACACCAATTAATTTTGGCAGTGACCCCGGGTGATAAGTCCATCATAGCAGCGAGAATCTGCAGCATTTAATTGCTGTGTTTAAAGAATGGTAATGGTAGGTATCTGGATCTGCATTAGGTGTAGGGACATTCTGTCCACTCTGGATCTGGCTGGACCCTGTGGCAAACCTAAGTGTGGCTAGGATGCTCACGAGACAGAGGATAAATTTAGGGCACTGAGAAATCACCTCTTTCTTTTTATATTCACCAGCATTATTTTTACAACACACTTTCCAGCTGCAGTATCCAGCTGGGGAAATCCTTTGGGATTTCTACTGAGGCGTAGTAGTAGTTGTTTTCTTTGAGGTTAGTGTCAACACCTTGCTACAAGTTCAGACCTTAACCTCCAGAACTGACCTTTTTGCAACATCCAGGCAAACAGGAAGAGATTTTTATGATGGCTCCAATTCAGAACTAGATTTTGAATTGAATTCCCAAGCACCAGTTTTGATTCCAGTCCTCTGTTCCAGCCCCAAAAGCATGCTAAAGCAGTATGGAAGTGTAACTGAGCTAAAATGCTCCACATCAATGACCTCTCACATGGTGTTTCTTCAGGTGCGCAAAATTCTAGACTTGGTTCAAAGCAAGGGAGAAGAAGTTTCCGAATATTTCATCTATGTCCTGCAGAAAGTCACTGATGCCTATTATGAGCTTCAGCCTTGGTTGGATGAAATAGGTTACCAGCCTTCAGAGAATATTCTTAGTAAACCTGTGGAAAATACAGATCCAGGTAAGGAAAAGCAGCTATATCCCTTTCTTTCCAACTACCCTGCATGTGGGAAACTAAGCAGGGGACAGGAGGGTAACAGAGTCCAGGCAGGCACACCTGGAGAAAATAAATGTGCTTAAGCTCTGTTTGCTGACTGTCATAGCCATGTAATTAAAAGGTAGATAATCCACTCTATAACAAAACAGTCGTGTTGAAATATCTCCTGTTCTGCTAAAGTCAGCCCTTTCTTCGTTTGTTTGTGGACACAGTGGTGTTTCCACCTCATGCCTGTCATAGTATTGTCTAGGGCTTTACTATGGTGTGTTAACAACCCTGTGATGGTTTGACAATGGAAAAGTCAATATTCACCATGAGCACGGTCTAGTAATGAAGTAGGTTGCCCAGAGAGGTTGGGCAGTCGCCATCCATGGAAGTTTTCCAGACCTGTCTAGATAAAGCCCTGAGTAACCTGATCTGATGTGAGAGGTGACCCTGCAAGAGGTTGCACTCCAGACCTCCTGAAGTACCTTCCAGTCTGAATTACTCCATACTCCTAGAACAGATTTTGAGTTAAAGGAATTCAGAATATTAAGAATTAAAATACTGCAGGAATACATATCTTTCTCAAGAGGATTTTTTATGGTACATCAATGCAAGAATCACTTTACCCCATCTGAAGTGAAGATTCAATTGCAATAAAAGCACATGCTAACATGGTACAGACTTTTACTGTTTTATCACCTTAAAAAAAGTCCTTTCGAAGTGTCTGGACCCTGGGTTCTAAAACACATGCCTTTTTATTTGCAAAAATAAAAATTATGAAACAAGCTAGGAATCAATAACCACCTACCTGCCACTATCCCAGGGCACTAATCTGCCCTTTTACCTTCACAAAGAGTAAGACAGAGTCTATAACAAGGAGGTCAGGGCCTCGGCTTGGAGTCTCGTCTAGAAGGCAGCTTTCCTTCATGCAATGCTACATCCTGAGGTTGTGGCGACTCACCCATCTACCTGGTTAGCACCTGAATTTTTCCTGACAGTCTCCTGTGTGAAGAGTTACCATACAAACCTATTTGGTTTATAAGGTTTAATGTTGGCAACCCAAGTAAATAGCAGTAATCTGCCAAAGAGTCAGTTTTGCATAAGAATCATTTTAGCTTGTCACTCTCTTTTAGTTCCCGAAGAAATGGTCAAATACTATAGGCCTTGGTCTCTTTTTAATAATAGTTTACTGTCTTTTTAGTTAGCAGGTATTATCAGAAACTCAGATATGAACTGGGCCGGGACTCGAAGTTTGTCATGTCGTATGCGCAGAGGGAAGAGATGCTGCTCGAAGAAATCTACTCTAACAATATTATGGAGCTGCTCACTTTCACCAATGAGAGTCTAGGCAAAGTGTCTCAGCCAGAAGCGCTTTTTGATGATACTGTTGGGCTAATTAATGAAGATGGAGAAACCATCTATGTCTACGGTGATGCAGGAATTGGAAAATCCATCTTGCTGCAAAAGATCCAAAGCCTTTGGGCCAAACAGGATTTGGATATAGGGGCCAAGTTTTTTTTCCGTTTCCGATGCAGGATGTTTAGTTGCTTTAAAGAAAATGAAGCCATATGTTTGAAAGACCTTTTGTTCAAATACAACTGCTACCCTGACCAGGACCCCGCAGAGGTGTTCCATCACATCCTGCACTTCCCTCATACTGTTCTTTTCACATTTGATGGCTTTGATGAGATCTATTCTAACTTTGATCTCAGTAGCGTTCCCGAGATGTGCTCACCCAACGAACCAATCCATCCCCTGGTGCTGCTGGTAAACCTCCTCAGAGGAAAGCTGCTTAAGGGATCCAAGAAAATTCTTACAGCGAGAACAGGAACTGAGATCCAAAGAAACATCATTAGAAAGAAAGTGCTGCTCCGTGGGTTCTCCAGCAGTAACCTGAAGGAATACACTGCCATGTTTTTCAAAGATGAGGGGCAACGAACACTGGTGCTGAACCAACTGGAAGCTAACCCCAGTCTCTGCAGTTTGTGTTCAGTGCCTTTATTTTGTTGGATTATCTTTAAATGCTATGAACACTTCCATTCCATGTTTGACAGCCATGAAATTCCAGACTGCTCTGTTACATTGACAGATGTATTTTTGGTCATGGTTGAAGTCCATCTGAGCCGATCTCTGAAAACAGGTTTGCTGAAGAACAACACCAGAAGCCAAGCAGAAACATTCAGATCAAGAAAGGAATCTCTTCTGGCTTTGGGTGAAATTGCTTACAAAGGGATGGAGAACTCCCTGTTTGTCTTTGAGCAGGAGGAGGTCTCAGCAGTGAACATCTCTGAAGAGGATTTGCAATTGGGCTTTCTCAGGACAGTTCAGGGTTACAGTGGCTGTGACGATCAGTCCATTTATGAGTTCTTGCACTTAACGCTTCAGTCTTTTTTCACAGCTTTGTTCCTGGTCATTGAGGAGAAAGTGGGTTCCAAGCAACTGCTTAAGTTTTTCAACGAATCCTCTTCCACTAACACCACACAACCTACTTGCCTTCGTATTCCTTGGCTGAGAAAACAACTGGCAGGGGGGGATCCTTTCCGAAATAACGAACATTTTCATTTCACCAACCTTTTTCTTTGTGGCCTGCTTTCTAGATCCAGGCAGAAGCTCCTCAGACATTTAGTTCTGCCCTCAGTCATTAAGAGGAAGAGAAAGACGCTCTTCACATACCTTGGGGAGAGCATGAAATCCCACCTTAAAAACCTCACTCGTGCCAGGCTTCCAAACTACTATCAGCTCCAGGTCCAGCCCAACTTTGTGTGGATGCTGCGGTGCCTTTACGAGACGCAGAGCGAGAAAGTGGGCAAGCTGGCTGCCAAATGCATGCGTGCCAACTACGTCAAGCTCACGTACTGCAACGCCTACTCCGCCGACTGCAGCGCCATTTCTTTCGTTATGCACCACGTCCAGAAGCGCCTGGGTCTCGACTTGGACAACAACAACATCAATGACTACGGAGTAAAACAGCTGCTGCCTTGTTTCAGCAAACTCGCCGTGATCAGGTAGGAGTCTGTGCAAGAGGGCCCTTGCTTGCCCTTGGTTTATCCCACCCATGGATTGCTGGAGCAGAGCAAGGCAGCTCCAAGCATGAGGGAGGTGAGGGGTCTCACTGCTGCTAGGAACTGAAGTGCTTTTGTCCCGGAGAGCTGAAACCAAACACTGGAAATAGCCACACGTGGCACCATTTGGATTAGAGGTTTGACTGTCCTAGAGTCGGCCAGTCTCAAACCTTTTGAAATGTTTGTTCACCTGGTCACAGCAGCAGGGACAAGCTTGAATTTTGGTGGGGAGGGTGGTAAGAAGTCCTTAGAAGCCTAAACTATTTATACCTACAGATTTAGTTAGTTCTATCTCAATTTTTTTTTTGTCTCAAAAGAGAGTTTTTAAAGGAAAAAAATCTTAAGGGAAAGAAAAAAAACAACTTAAATATCTCCTACTTTACCTGCCTAGTAGACTGGGCAGGTCTAGACTGCCCTAGTCTATCTGTGGCCTTGGACATACGCGGTGAGAGGGGATCTACCCTTCACAGCTAGCCCTGATCAAAAGCTGCTCGTTTCTTGCCTTTCCATCCCAGCTGGAGGCCGGGCTTTGACAGCCCCAAAGTGCTCTCTGCCAGGGGTGCAGCTGAGGAACCAGTTGTGATACCTGCATGGGCCAGTGTGGAGGGAGGACATGGCCTGGCGTGATCCGAGAGGACTAACACCTCCCTCAGGTCAGGTCTGTCCACCTGCAGTCCCTTGGAGTTCGGGCCATGTAGCTAAACCTTTGGAGTTCCACACCTGAATGTTGGGACAAACCAAGTATTTATAAAAATTTAAAACTTTTAAAATGTATTTACTTCAGCCCCGTTCAACCCTCTGCTTTTTAAACCGGACTTACCCCTCCTAATTGGCTCCTCTCTGCTTTTTTTCTCTAGAAGCCTTTCATAAACCAAAGCAAGTGACTGTTTCTTTCCAGTTAATTGGAAGTAACTGACTTTCCAAGAGAGAGGAATATGGGGACTTGGGAATAAAAAGGCATGCGTATGTAAGACAAGTGAAGGAAGGAAGTCACAATCTTTCATTCTCTCTCCCAATTGCAGGATCATGGAACATGGTGTACGGTCTATAACACCATCTCCGATTCCAAACCAGTCTGTTCCTTTTGACCTTTGAGGCTCTTCCTGATGTTAGGACTTTTATTTTTAATGACCAATTTCTGCAGGACAGAAAATGCTGTTTCTACTGGTTTAATCTAATTTCTTCATTCACCCCTTTGAAAGAGGCTGCTCTGATCTGTAGAGATCCTATGTGTTCCTTCCTATGTGTTAGTGCATTTTAGGGGGAACAAATTACTAACCAGAGAGGGCCAGGGAAGGTGCTGGTGATAAGGAACAATCAGCAGTAAATGTTCAGCCTTAGAATTTGTGTTGAAACTAAAGCTGGTCAAAACGTTTCCACTGGGACTGTTTTCCTAGAAAATGCGATTCATCAGACTTGAAATGTTTCATGGGAACAAGTCCATTTGGCCAAAGTGAAAAATCTTTAGAAGATTTTTTACTTTTTTTAGCACTGTGAAAAGAAGTATTTTTATTCTGTGAATGACTGACACGTTGATTTGTGTCTGATTGGGACAATAAAATTAGAAACGTTCAGGACACCCTTGGGACTGCAGTTCCATTTCCTGGCCAGAGCTTTTTACAACCTTTAGCCAGCAGAGCCTGAATGTGAGGTGACCTTCAAGACACCTGGTTTCCACTAGGTACCCAGAGAGAAGGCTGCAAGAAGAGAGGTTGAAAAACTTGCTTTTTTTAGGAAACCGGCTACAACTTCTTTTTGCATTTGCAGAGGGTGGAAGCAGCCTGGGAGGAGGATGGAGTTTTTGTCTCTGGTTTCCAGCCGACTGCATTTTGTTTTCACTCCTATGGACAGCATCCAGAACAGTGCCTGGGAGACCTGGGGATTTCTGGTTTGTTTGCAAAGCGAACCATGTACAGCTGAGCTCACATTTCCCTTAATGGCTTTTAATACGTGGCATAAGGACCTCCTGAAAATGTCAGAGGGAAATGCGTAGAGCTCCAGTCACTCATTAACTCCTGGGTGACGAACGCTTGCAAGCTCTAGTGATTCAAACGCTGCTTCCTTTCCTCTCGTTTCAGGCTCAGTGTAAATCAAATCACAGATCATGGCGTGAGGATCCTGTATGAAGAGCTCTCCAAATACCAGATTGTGACCTTTCTGGGGTACGTGCCCGTTGGGAACAAAACACTAGACACTGGTGCTGAATATCGAAACTACAAGGCCACGGGGCCGTCGCAGCGAAGGCCGGGGGGAGCCAGGGTTTGCTCCTCGTCTCCTGGACAGGAGCAAGGCAGCGTTTGGTGTCGGACGTGGTCCAGCAGCTCCCCCAGGACGCTGGCTCCCGGCACGGTGCCGCTGGCGTCGCGCAGCGCGGGTCGCCGAGGGGCCTCTGAGGGGCACTTCATAGCAGAGCCGTCCGCTGCCGCGGCTGTAAATGGATTCATTTCGAATAGGGACGGTCGAGACAGCTCAATGCTGACTGAGGTTCAGGGACGTGGTGTCTCCGGGTGTCGTTTTCATGGTGCCCTTTTGTGCAGTCATAGTTTTCATGTATAAAGTAGAGACTTTTTAAGACCTTAATGAGCTCTTCATCAAGCAGAAACTAGGAGGCCTGTTAGCCCCTGACTGCCCGTTCTTGGTTAAGCAGTTACATAAAAATGACTTTTTGAAATTTAAGCATGAATACCAAGGATTGTGTCCTTCCTCCAGTGCCTCACTGTAAGTGCATGTGCTGAGGTATTTGATCCTCAGTAATATTTGCAAGGGGATTTTATGACTTCTAAAAGACTGGAAACATTTTTTCCTGACTTCTCTCCTGACTTATGCAATATTATTTCTGCTAACATTGGAATAAAGGGAAGCTTTGTTTGCCTGGGGAGACTATTTATTTAAAAAAGAAAGTATTTAAATATTTTCCCATGAGTTGCAATCTGGTCTCCTTGTACTTTAAAGTGTTTTAAACGCCTTCAAAGTACTAATTCTACATCAAAATGGAAGTGCAAGCGATTGTGAGTATGTACAGAGGCACACATGAAAAAAAGAGTGATGCTGCATATGCATTATAAAACATTCAGGATGTAAATATTAAAGTAACAGCATGGGTAACCTACTTTTACCAATGTGATTTTTCTTCAAGCTTATACAACAATCAGATCACTGATGTTGGAGCCAAATATGTTGCAAAGCTAATTGAAGAATGTTCAAGCCTTCAATATGTTAAGTATGTTGGATTTTTTTTTCTCTTTATGCTTCTACAGAATCATAATTAAGGATAAAGAAAATTAAGAGAGAGTTTAAAAGATTGTATTTCAAATAAAATATAGCTTAGGTTGTAGTTACATGCTCTTTTACGATAGTCTGGTAGTGATGGCCCCTAGTGAAACTCCTGAATCCATAATCTTTACTAAAGACTGCTTGGGCTACGAGTAGGATGCAGTTGTAAGCACAAGGAGAGTGCAAAACCTATTCTTCACTTAAATCCAGGCAGAGTATTTGAGAGAGGCTTAAGTGGCGTATGAGCTTTGCAGGCCTTTGTAAATACATTTGTTATTTATACCAAGCTGCTTTATATCCAGCCTTTTGTGGGCAACTGAAATCAGGCTGTGCCAGTGCAATATCTCAGTTTACGAATTCCCCAAATTCACTCGCTAAGTCGTACCCATTAATTCCTGGAATTTCGCCTGCTGGAAGTGTCCGGCCGTGCACAACACCAGTTTGACCTAGGGGTAGATCATTAACCAGTGTTTTAATTATGCCCAGAGCAGAAAACAGAGGTGACTGCAGCCGTGTCAGCTGCTGGGGTGAGCGCAGCGCCGGCAGCCAGGGCCTTTGGGGCTCTTGTCCTTGTTTCACTGCTAACTTGCTCTCAAACCAGACCCTAGCCACATCCATCCCACTTGAAATACTTCCACAGAGAGGCTGGAGCCCCCAGCGTGCTCTGGTGGCTCTTCAGCTGCTTTGGCACAGTATTTGTGCGTTGTTTAATGTCTCATAACTTTCCCAAAACAACCCTGGCGGAGGATGGTGACTTTCGGGTTACACATTAAGCCCCGGGATTGTTCTGACACAGGGGGCCTGTGCATGTGTCTGCAGTCAGTCAGAGAAGATAGTTTCGATTTATGTGATGGTAGGGGATAGACTTGTTATTTACATCAATGCATATGCAATTGAGACTTAGTCCTTTGTTGAACTCCAGTCATTTGATATCCCCACACAGGCCAAAAAAAGAGGTGTACTTCTACACAGCACCAGCTGTATAGACTGCACTGACCTGTGTCACCACCTGTAGCCTATACATTGAACAGAGGGACGTGAAATCTTGGCAGTCTGTGCCTGCCAGCTGCAGTCTCCTCTGGAGCCACACTGCCAAGAAATGTTCTTTTCCTGTAGCATCATGAAATATGCACTCGGGAGTGCCTGTGGATATTATAAATTGTATTATAAACCAGGCAGGGTTCCTTGTCCTGAGGATCAGTTCCTGACTCCTTTCTGACATACGGAGGACCAAAAATGAGACCCTGCGGTAATACTTGTAATTTGGAGGACTAACGTAGTACAAGAAAGCAGACTCTAAACAAAATGCATAAAAGGCACCTTTGACATTTTGCACCCTAGGTTAATCTTGGCTAATTCTAGCCTCCTGAGTTAACTGGTCTGAAATATTTCCATCATTTTCTGAGCTAGGTGTTATAAGTGTTGTTTCTCATCAAATCATGTATTTTATGCAGAATAGGAGCAAACAAAATAACTACTGAAGGAGGGAAGTGCCTTGCCCAGGCCATACAGAAGAACAAGATGATGTTTGAAATTGGGTAAGTTTGGGGCTAAGGGGCAGAGCTCAGTGCTTGCTTTTGGCAAAGCTTCTGTAAATCCTTCGGGATTACATCCTTTCATTCTTGCCTGCCTTCCCTTTCCTATTACTTCCTTCTCCTAGTGGCAACAGCACAAATCATTGCAGAAGCACAGCCACGTTTTTTTCACTCAAAGGGAAAATGAGGGCTGTTTTACTGTTTTTTTTTTTCTTCTCCACATTTCCCTCCACAGAACCTTGAAGGTGAGACAAATTGACAAGAGGACAGAGTGTAAAGACAGCTATTTTCCTTACAACAACACAGTCATTTTATAGCTGCTTGATCCATTTTTAAAAGTCTGAGTGGCTTTTGTGACTCCTTGCAAACTCCTTACCTAGTTATTCAGCATGAAGGTTAAGATTGCCAAATCTCCTACATCAAGTTCTGATCAAGCCGAGAACTGAGAGAATAAGAAGGAATTTCCATTATCCTTCTCTCCGGTGTGTATGAGACTGCAAAGTCCAGTGGCAAAATTGTTTGAGAGAGATCCGAATGTCCTCTAAACCATTAATCCCTGCCCCCTTTTTTAGGAGAGTTGTTAAACTTGAGAGTCTGATAATTGTTCTTTTCCTGGCAAATCCCAGTTTCTCTTTCTGCTGTACATGAGGACATTCTTCTCAGAATCTGATACTCAAGTACATGTAATTGAAACCTCTGTTGGCCATTGTAAATATCCCAATAACTCTCCAATGTCAGAATCCCATTTGAACAATCAAATTTTTGGCCTTTTTTTTTTAAATGCTATAGTATTTCATAGGTATTGTCAACAGCATGCAAACTTCTGTTGTCACACAGTTGAGTTCCTTTATATGTGCTGTAATTTCCATGGAGAATCTCTGTTTTCTCCTTTGGAGAAAAACCTCAAAATGGGTTTAAGATAGTTTGGATAGAAAGTTGAGATAGAAAATTCTTGATTTTTGCATAACAAACTGTATTGGGTCTGAAGGGCAAGGAAATTCTGGGACTTACTGGAAATGGATGTTTAGATACCACAAAGATCAATTGATTTTAAAACAGCTGCCAGCTAATTACCCGTCGAGCTGAACGTGGCTCTGAGTCATCAAGACACGATCTCTGTTTAAAAAAAAAAAAACCACCTGATACCTCCGGGTTTCTTCTCCTCGCAGGATGTGGGGTAACCGGGTTGGAGACGAAGGGGCCAAGGCGTTTGCAGAGGCGCTGAGGAACCACCCCAGGTTGACCAACGTGAGGTAAAGCCCCGGCGCGGCTGGGCTCCCCTTCTGCTCCCCCTGCTCGTGCCAGGGCTGGTGGCACTAGTGAGGGCCGGGCTCAGCGGCTGCTGTTTTGGAGTGGGAGCAGTAGCACAACCTGCCACAGAATGAGGGCCCCCTGGGCTCCACGTGGACAAGACTGTGAGTGCTGCATTTTTTTACCAGAGTATTCCCTAGCCGATAAGCTGCTTGGGTAGGGCCTGGTGTGGTCTGAAATTCTGGCTCTTCCTCCGTCCCGGCGGAGCTACTCCTCCATTAATTCAGCAGTAATGAGCCGTGGTTGGCACGGGAGCTCCGCATGTCCTGGCATAGTCTTCCGAAAGCCCCCGAGTGGGAGAGGTTGGCACGGGGAGAAGCCAGAAGCGTGGAATGCCCTGTGCCCTGCCAGGCCATTGGGTGCTGCCCAGGGATTTGGTGTGTGCTCCAGCTGCTCCTGCTGTTCCGCAGGGCCTCCGTGTGGCCGGAGCGCTGGATCCTTGGCGCTCCTTGCGTCTGGGCCCCCTCTTCCCCTGGACCCCACCGTGAGGGAGCCGACCCCGACCGGGCTCCTTGGTTTCCCCACAAGGTGGCACATGGCACTACTTTTCTTTAGAAACACGGAATTTAGAGAGTTCCGGGACCTCTGGAGAGCTTATTGCTGCTGCTTCAGATCCAGGGGTTTCCGAGCTGGTGCCTTGTCTTCCATTCTGCGAGCAGATAGCTGGGCTTAAAAAATTCAAAGCCGAACAGGTGCAGTGACCTAGATTTGCTAAAATTTAAACGCTAGCTGAAATAGCCATCTTCCCCTAAACGCAGAATCCAGCCAGGTGCCCCAGGCTTGAAAGAAAACAGTCTGAACTTGAATCGGGCCTGGGTTATTGCTCAACCCGCGACAAATACGGTGGTGAAAAATGGTCTTGCCAAAAATAAGAGCCAGCTTGTGCTGGAGCCTGCGCGGGGAGGATCTGCTGCTGCTGCTCTGCAGCGTACCAGCACTTGAGTTCACTCCTGTCTCCTGCTGCTCAGCCTCGCTCCCTGATTGGAATGCATAGTTTGCACCGGTGGAAGCTTTATGCAGAGATGAAGGGAAGATAGTCACTGCTGCATCAGTTTGTTTTAGCGTGTTTGCCATTTTTAGGCCTAATCATGAGGGACAGAGGATCTCCGGTTTCTGCTGAAATTAGCAGGGACTTGTGCTAACACATACTTGTGCCATAGTTAGACAAGGCTTAGCCCCTCTAGTCCCCCCCGTCTTTCTCCCCCTTTTTTTTTTCTTAGGCCTTGCACTATTTTCAGGCTATGGCCTGACTTCTAAAAGGGAAACTGCTTTTTGAACTCTCAAAGCCTGGAGCATAACTTTATCTGGATGTTTTTGCCACTGCTTATTCAAAGAATGAGGGGCAGACTAGGAAATGTTTGTGGTTTGCAAAGGAAAGCATGCACTTACAAGCTCATCTCCCCATATATATCAGAGCAGGTGTTGTGGTTGGAAGACAAATGAGGTTTTTAGGAGTCTGCACACCCCACCTGAAGGACGACGTGCTGCGTTTGTATGGGGAGTTGGGATGGTAAATGCATGTGCAAACCTGTAGCCTAATGAACGCAACCTCCTCTCCTTGTTGAAAGCCGCAACTTCCAGTCCCGGGAGTGCAACTCCTTGGTGGCAAACCTGTAGGATACACTCAGGCTGCAACCTACGAACTGTTGTCAATTGTAAAACCACAAGGAGTTACCTGGTTTGCAGAGTACCTGGGCCTTTGAACCCCCCAAATGCTGCCCCATACAAGGGGCAGAGATCATCTGGGTATTCGTGAGTGTTTGAAGCAGGGGAAGGGCCAGGTCACGCCGGCTGCTTCTCACAATTCCCTGTCTCCTGTTCCCTTCACAGTCTCGCATTCAACGGCATCACATCGGAGGGGGGCAGAAGCATCGCCGAGGCCATGCAGCACAACGACTCCGTGAGGATATTCTGGTAACCGGCCTTGTGACCTCCTGCTTCTCCTCTTCCTCCGGGAAAGCTGCAGCTGAATTGTACTTCCTCTAAACCCGCGTCATCCTCCTCTTCTCTTTCTCTCCTTCCTCCTGTTCCCTATGCCTTTTTTCAGCCACTGTGCTATAACCACTCCTGCGTTTTGCTGCAGAGATGGAGAAGTACCTGATTCTTGCTGGGGAGATTTCTACTTTGACTGCATCAGGAAACAAGAGGGTGAAGTTACAAACGGCAGTAACCGGGGGTCTCTAGAGGGAGGGGTCTCTAGGGGGTCTTAATTTATTTCTCTTCTCATGGGTTAGGAGTTGGGCAGGCCTGGGATGGCTCCGCATGCTGGAAATGCAAAGGGACTTGCATCTCTTGAGCAGATTCTTGGCCTGCAAAGCTGATACTTCCCTGCTTGTAGGGTCGTGGTACACTTGCTAGCGATGCTGTGGGAAGGTGCACATGTACTGTGAACACCCTACGTTCCTCCAGGCCTTATTATGTTACTATAGGATACCCTGCCACCTGCACCGCGTGCGTTCGGGGCAGCCAGCTCCAGCTTTGGTGCCCCCCAGTACTGGCTGGGGAGCAGAGCATGCACTTCACACAGTGGCTTGCAAACTTTACAGCTGCTGACCTGAAGCCTGCGTCCAGTGAAGGGGCAAAGGTCTGGAGAGGGAATTTATGCCTCCTGATTACAGCTTGCACTCCTCAGCGCTGCTCTCAAGCCCCTTTGACAGAGCCCTGTCCCATGTTTTGCACTTTCCTGTGGCAACCAGAGGAGTGCACACATGGGGTTCTGCGTATCCTGCTTAGCTGTGGAAAGATTGATTGATTTTAGACTGAAGGGGGCAGGGGCTCTCTTAGTGCCTCTGCAGGCAGCTGGCTGAAAGCAGTGATTTAATCCACCTGACTCTGCTTTTGCCTTGCACAGTATTGAGTTTTGGCTTCTCGATTCCCTCTGTGCATTTCTGGTTCATGCTTCTTGCTGCTCCCTACACCTTGTGTTCCCTGTCTTCTCTCACTTCCATCATGTGAAATCCAGTTCACTGTCCTCACAGTCTTCCCACTTCTTCAGCGCTGTCCCGACCGCCTTTTCCACCACATTTTGTCCACTTTTTAGTCACCTTAACATCGTGAGAAGGTATCATTAGATGACTGCTCTGAGAAATAAGGTCCGATATTCTTGTCCCTCTTACCTGCAGGGCTTCTCATGCCTCTTTGTGCCCAGTCTTGAGAAATTGCTTAGGGCAGAAACAGCATATGCCTTTTTGGCGATCAAAAAGCTAAGTCACAAACAAGCTGGAAAAACACAGAGCTGTAAAATAATGATAACATCCTAAGTGAACATGTTCTCTCCCACCTAGGTTGACTAAAAATGACTTGGATGATGAGGCAGCAATGAGTTTTGCAGAGATGCTGAAGGTCAACAAGAAACTGGTGCATTTATGGTGAGTTACATTCCACAGAGGCACAAGGCTCTTTGGCAGTCACTGCATTAAAACTTCACCTTTCAAGTGTATGTAGGTCACAGTAAGCTCTCTGTGCATGCACTGGATGCAGCTGACTGGTTACAGACAGGTCAGATGGAAAGTTAATAAAGCTGCTGTCTAGCATTTGGAACCTGATTTCATATGGGGAAGAGTTTTAAGCTGTTTGTGTGTCCTGGTAACTAGCTGATTTCATCCACCTTTAGCAGAACAGTACTGGCCTCAGAGATAGACTTTTCAAAAATACAAGCAAGCAGCTAGGATAAAATAACCTCATTTTCACCCTTACTGTCACACCACCAAAGTAGGAGGCTCAACTCTTACTATACAACCAAGAGCCCACACATGATGGGCGCCGAGGTACCTGCCCGTTCACAGCAAGTTTTTTTTGGAGCTTCGGAGCGCTTTCATTCATGCAAGGCACTCAGCTATGGGACACAATCCCCAGGAAATCAGACATTACTATTTCTAGCGTCTGCGAAGGGACTTGCTAAACTTCTAGGAAAAAGCAGCACTCGCGTTTCTGATTCGGAGGTTCCCGAGAGTTTGTCCAGTGACAGGGCTTGGCAGGCGCAGGCGGTGGAACAGCCGTCTGCCCGCTCATTCCAAGGGATCAGGCAACATAAAAAACAGAGTCCCATAAAAACCAGACCACATAGCAAGTCTTTCTAAGCACACATTAGCATTCCCTGTATGGTTCCTGCCCGTAGGAAGCACGCTGCTTGGCAGAGGCACGCGGTGCTTACAGCCTCTGCTGAAAGCAATAGAGGCCCTGGTGCCCATCGCCCTGAAAACACAGGGTCAAGCCTGGGCTTTCCTGTGCGCAGCTGCTGGCGTGTTGCACTGGACAATTTGGCAGACATAGCACCCAAGAAACATGTCTTTACACTGCCTCAGTATTGCCCAAGGGTTTCTGGTAGTAGGCAAGTTTATATCCTCTTTTCTTGCTTATACCAGTGGGTATCTCCAAAAGGTGATGACCTGTATAGGTATTTGCACTTGAGGCAGAGCCAAATGCTTTTCCTGTGAGTGAAGGAGGTCACTGGGTCCCTTCACATTTGGATTTGTCCTTTAGTGGGGATTCATTGTCCCTTCCTCCCTCCATGAGAGATGTTCATAACAGAACATTCCAGCTTTCAGCCACATCCTGAATCCTATGGGATTCATTCAGCTGGTCACATGCAATAGTAAAGATTCCACCATGGTAGACTGCAAGGTAAATAATGAATTAGTGTAGACTGGCAAGTATTTTTATACTCATGTAGATGAGGGGTTGCTCTTTTTTTTTTTTTAGCTAGGGAGATGCTGTACAGTAGTTGATATGAATTAGTTATTGCTTCTTCAGTTGTGCTACTTGAGGATCTTTTGTATCTTTATTTTCCTAATCTCAGATTAGGTGTACTTTATAGCTGCTAAATGAGCTTCATGGGAGTAGCACCTGCCCATACCTGAGCCAAATTAAATGCATTATTTTTCAACAATCTTGCTGGTCTGATAAACAAGACAAGCAGATTTGGCTCCTCTGAATCATATTTGCTAAGGCGTTAGGCCCGCATAGGCTATATTCAGAATTTTCTCTAATCAGCTTGATGATTAAGACCAGTATCTCCAGAATGTAACCACAGGGAGGCTTCAAGGAGGAGGCTCTGGGTGTGAAAGTGCTTCCCAAGTGCATCTGTGGGGCATTTGACCACTGTTGTGTGCCATTCTCATGGACAGAAATCAGACCCACCTTCTCGTGGCAAACAGGCCACGTCTTTGCTCCTTCCCATCAACTTAGGTCACACATGTGCTGAGCACACAGCAAAGGGGGTGCTGTAAATGAGAACCAGTATGTTAGTTTGACACCAAGTGCTTTCTTTTTAGGCTTATCCAGAATCAAATTACAGCCAAAGGAGCGAAGTACCTCAGCGAAGCTCTCAAGGAGAACACAGCCATTAAAGAAGTCTGGTAAGGATCCCCTTCTCGGAGGCTCCCTTGGTTAGCTTTCTTTCACTTTAAAATGCTTGTGCTATTATTACTATCCAGCATATATCAATTTATGCATATATATATATATATATATATATATATATAAATAAATAATTCAGAACAAATTTATGCAAGGCAGAGGTTGTAGTTCAGCCATGGGTGTCAAACAGATAAAAAGCCTCTGTCATTAAAACACTTCCCCATCCATTATGAACACCAGGCAGTTTTGTTATTTCAGTGTTAACTCACTCACTGTGTGGCTTGCAGCGCAGATGCATCTGCAGACTTGGGGCCTCATTTTATAGATGAGGCTTTGCTTGTCCTGATTTATTTGCAAATTTCAGAACATTCCCATGCTTCTTCTAAGGAGCTAAATCCCAACAAGTAGGAGGTGGCTACATTTAATTAACATCACTAATTTGGTCCATAGAATTTGGGCTTGGATTTTCTTTGGGCAAGGCTCCAAACACACCAAGTGCTAAGCTACAAGAAGATTAACTTTTTGCAAGATTTGCTTGTTTTAGATTAGGTCGGCATCACATAGTCGTGCACGTGCATTGGGTGGCACAAAGCCAGATACCACATTCCTCCCCTCACCTCAGCAAGCACAGGAGCCCATACGACTCGGCTGCTTTTAGCACTGCCACTTCCATTCTCTAGAACTTGAAATTTGGGGGGGTTTTCTTTCTTTCTTTTTAAAGAATATATTTACTTCAGTAAAAGGACACTGAATTCTTGCTTAGAAAGATGGTGACTCACTGTCTGCCTTCCCTGGAGATGTGGAAGAGAGGCTCTTCTCAAAGGCGACCGGCCGCTGTCGCCTATGCAGGAGGCCCCGCTCGAGCCCAAGTCTGGCCCTCAGTTCTTCTTGGCTGGGGTTTCAGAGGTGTTTATTAACCCTAATAACTTCATACAACTGAATGGCTTAATAGTATTCAGCATTTCTGAAAGCTGCATTTATTGGGCGGCTCGTATTTAGGGCTGGAAATATCAGTGTAGATTAGCTTCATTTAGCCAGACTTGGAAACTTTGCCTTAAGTCATTTTGTATTAATAACGCCCCAGTACTTAACACAGTTTTTTTCTCCCTTGTTGCTATGGAAGGCACAAAATGCTCTGAAGACCATTTAAATTTCTTTATAAACAAGCCCTTTACACGTTACAAACCTCTGTCTACTGCATGCCGCTTTTCACAGCGATCCCATCAACCTAGTGCTTAGTTCCAGGTGGTGTGGGGCTGTTGCACCCCGTTGGGTATGGCCAAGGCTTCTGGAAATGGAAGGGGAGCCTCCAAGTCCATGGGCTTTTGGCCAGCCTCAAGGGCTGCTGCACGCTGAAATGCCAGCAGCTGGGCATCCAGCACCGTGAGGGAAATTAGGGATTTTAGCTTGAGGAAGTTGAGGTTTTAGCTCAGCCTTCGTTTCTGAAGAAGTAGGCTCTTTCTTTTTACGTGCAGTGGAAAGAACGGTGCTGTAGTTGGCCCCTTTGAGGCTTGTTTCCAAGCTGTGCACTTGGGAAGCACGTAGTTTGCTGGGCTTGGAGCGCTTTGATCTCTGCTCCAAAACCTTGGGAAAACAGAAGCTGGGAAGCGGTCACTACCTTACTTTCATATCCCTTCTTCCCCCCTCCAATAGTTTGAACGGGAACCCAATAAGCCGAGAAGAGGCCAAAGCCTTTGAAAATGAAGAACGGATCATTTGCTTTTGAACGAAGACTTGCCTGTTTTGTCGAGTTTCACGTTACAGAGGCTGCTCCTCCACGTGGCCTGCAGGGTTTAGGAAGGCATAAATCTGCAGTGCTCGTGGCAGGAGAGCGACACAGGACGAGCTCCCTGTTTGTGGACGTGCTGCCCTCTCTCAGCTCCATCCCTTGCCCTGCCTGTTACACTTAAACCGTTTGGTGAGTGGGAAATCGCCTTGGCAAATAGTTAATGTTTGTATGGTGCTTTGAAATTGAATTGCAGAGTGTTACCAGACCAAACCCACTGGCAGGCTTATGCATTTTGATAAGCCAGTTTATTAGGTTTATTCTGTACAATGATGTAAATAATCTCTAACTTATTTATACAGATAAATATGTATGTATATGGATGCAAGATGCACAAACTCCATAAGCTCACAGTATTATATTCCTCATAACTGAAGAATCAGCATGCATAACCTTACTGAAATCATAAACCATCTGTAATAGTGGTGTGGTACTTACTGTTGCTTTCAACATGACTATTTTCCTTCTGCCTAGAAATCAGGCCCTCCTTCCCCCCTGCCTGACTACAGGCAGAGCTGTAGGCACTGCATTTATGGAGAAACGAATACCTCGGGCATAGATTACTTTCAGTAATCTTCTTTTTTTCCCCACGCTGAAGCCAGTGCATTTACTTTTATTCAAGCAAAAGCCCTTGCTCACATCACCATAAAATGGTAATAGTGGCAGTAAGGCACCTTTGCTTAAAATATCCGAAGGGCTGCATGGAAACTGCCACCTCCTGTTACCGCAGTGTTTATTCTGGGGGGGTCTGGGGATAAATGTGAAAAATTAATTAGCAGGCTGTTCACTGCCTTGGCTCTTGGCCTAGACGCTGTGCTGGTGGCAATACACCAATATTAAGTTGCCTAGCTTCAGTGGGGAGAAAGGACAACTGAAAATCAATTGCACTGAGTTGAAATCCCTTCTCCCAGCAACATGCAAGCGCACAGAAGCATTGAGATTTGCTTGGAAAGCTTTCATTCTGTACTTGAATTAATGGAAAGTGCAAGGCAACGTGTAGGTAAAACTGTAAGAACCAGCAAGGAAGCATCATCACCCCTGCAAATAATTAGCTTGGAGAACATAGTTTTTGGTGCCTCTAAGAGAAACCAACTTCCAGGGGAATGTTTTTTTGATATTGTTTCCTGCAAATTATGCCTTCTTCGTAAATGGCATCTCAAATTCTACTCCACACTACATACAAGGAACCCAGAGTGGAAAAGCAACATCCGTTTTCCTTCACATGCCCATGTTACCCACTGCCTTTGACAAGCAATCCTCTGGGTACTGGCTAGTGCACAACGCCACAGTAGAAAGCAGAATCTCCCATTAAAATGCCAGATCAGCAAATCTCACGTTTCCCTGCTCCCAAATCTGCCCCCAAAAGGAAAACGTGGGGAAAAAGAAAAAAGAAAATTCAAGAAAAAAGAAAAAAAAAGGCTTTTTTTTGTAGTTTCAGGTCTTTTCCCATGTGGTAACAGATCTTTCCTACTCCCCAACTCCAACTACTTCCTCCAGCCCCCAGAAATGTTTTGTGCTCATAAACCCTTTTCACAAAACCAGCAAGTACCTACATATTATAGATACATCATATACATATTATACTATATATAGAGAGAGTGCAGTGGATTTTCGTCCCTGGCCATGCCATCGACACTGATTTCTCCCAGGGAGGCAGACAGATGAGGCTTTCAGACCATGAAGAGGAAAGTCGGGCTGACTTGAGTGATTTGTGCACCTGAGCTGTTTGTTTACTGAAGCTGCTGAAGCAAAAGGGCACTCTGTTACACAGGAGGTGGGTTTGAACTGCAAAAACATTTGCCAAAACAAGATCTTAAAAAGAAGAAAAAAAACTTCCAGCGACTTAAAAAAAAAAAGACAAACCAAACCCACACAGACACATCCCCATGCGCCGTGCTGAAATGCTGTTCATGCCCCGCCAGCCTCACGGAGGTGAGGACACTGCTTTCCCAGGATGAACCTACACCATTAAAAGCAACAGATCTTGTCCTCACATCAGTGACACTCCAGCAGTGCAAAGCATCCCTGAACATACTCTCCAGGCCTTCCCATTCGGACACCTCTGGTGTTGGGAACTACTTGTGGCCAGACAACATCCTAGAACTCATTGCAAGTGCCACGTTTCCTGCTTTCTAGTATTACAGGACTGCAGAGCACTTCTGAGCTACATATTTGCAGCTTGCAGCCAGTGTTGTTTACTGAAATTCAGAGACACCTTTTTTTTTTTTTTTTTTTTTTTCCCCTTTTAAAACTTGGTCATAATCTGCTAAGACATTCTCTGTATACAGTGTTACTTTATTTTTCTCCCACTTGTCCACAGTGATAATAAACAGCTTTGTAAAGCACTTCTAAGAGACTGTCTGCGATTCCTGTGGCTCTGCTGAAGCGCTGTCACAAAGATGCTTGGCCAGGCGCTGCTGGGAATGTGACAGCCCAGCCAGCTCCGGCTGTAGAGGACAGGGAAGAGCTGTCACCCCTGGAGAGAGCTGCTCACATCCACCTCCATCCCTGCTGGGCCTTGCAGACAAGCGCCTACAACTCACTTACTTAGCAGCAGCGAGGAAAACCACCGCCATGGTTTCCAAAGGCACAGACACTCTTGCCGGGCTCTGCCCCTCGAGTTCAACCACCAAACTCACTGCAGAAGCTCCCTGCTGGGAACCAAGCCCCGTGCTGGCTGGTGGGCACAACATCTGTGTTTGCCTGGGGCAGGAGGGCGGCCCTTGGGCGAGCTGGGTGGCACTGGGGGTTCCAGCTCTGCCCACACGCAGCCCCTTCTTTGGGAAAGAGGCTTTTCCAGAAGGTGTCACCAACTGCAAGTCAGGCTGGAGGCTTTCTGCTCTACCGCGCAGGAAGCCAATACCCTTAGAAGCAAAAAGTGACCAGCTGTGTGTGAATGTGTTGACACTTGCTTTCCAAGTAGGAATGCAGTAGCTGGATGATGCTAAGTGAAAATGGGTGCCAGAGTGTGGGGCTGCCTACCCCCGCAAGGACCAGCTTGATTTATGGTTTTTATTTAAACCACTTCTCTTACCTTGCCCAGGGAGCTTTCTTGGTTGGGATAGCACAGGGTGAGGTTTCCATAAACATGATTTATGTGACAGTGGCGAGTCCTTTCTCGCCAGCAGTTTCCCACTACATAAACTGACAGAGGATGTAAGGAGGGCCCCAGGCACTGGGGAATTCCTGCTTTTTATCCTGATGAATTTATCTTTGCATTCCTGGTGAATTTCAGAGGGGCTGAGACCAGCCCTGGTTCACTCTGAATTCTCTGATCTGGGTGGCAGGTGAGGGAGCCGCAAAGTTTTGCAATCGCTCGCCTCAGGTGCACGGGATGCTTTGATCCCGGGGATGAGATTTCAGCGGAAGCAGCTCTGATACACACCCCCAGGGAATAGCTGTGTGGGAAGACATCCCTGTCACCCGAGGCTGAAGAGCATCATGACAGAAGAGGCCAAAGGAAATAAGACCCTCATTGGTCCCTCCCCAGTCGTGACCGCAGCCTGAAGGCTTCGCAGGAATCCCCTCAGCGAGGGAAGGTGGAGGAAGATGGGGCAAAGCTGACCTGCGATCCTGAGCACGAGGAAGACGGAAGGGGCTGCAGAAGTGCATCCACTGCCTGTTTTCTGGGGAAAGCTACTTCTCCTCCTCCTGAATGCTAAGGGATTTGTTGAGGTGCTAAGTCCTCCTGGCTAAACCAGGCGCATTGAGGCACTGGGTGCTCAGGGTCGCTCTCCGGCCAGGGGCAGGAAGCACAGATGTGGTTTTGTACTGTGAGACCCAGGCACTGCCCTGCGGCCTTGCACAACAGGAGACTCTGCAGATATAATTTTCCCTCTTCATGGAGACCTCTAACTTCCTTTCCCTGCACGCCGGCCCAGACACCTCCTTGTGCCGTGCTCCCGATCCCACGGGAATGCCGCCTCGTGTGGAGACGTTGCCCGTCGCAGACCGGTTCCCCCGCCAGGGAAAGGCAGGGCTGGGGCTCCAGGAAGCCCCTTGCGAACGACAAAATGGCCGCTCTGCGGCCTGGCGTTCGTCGCAGCGACGCGGTGGGCCACGAACGCGCTGCGAGCCCGCTTCGACCCCGCGGCTTGGGCTGAGGTCTGCTGAAAGAAGCAACCGGAACAAGGGAAGAAGAAGAAAAAAAAAAATTAAAGAGCAGATCTTTGTTAAAATTTAAACAAGAATTCAAACCGCAGGCAGTGTGCAAGCACAAAGCAGAGCAGGAGCGATGTGACTCAAAATGCAACAGGGCGAACGCGGAGGGGTGTTGAGCACCTGCGGCGCCCCCCGAGCCGCGGGCAGCGAGCAGAGCGGAGCCAACGGGGCTGGGGACCTGTCCCCGCGCTTTTAGTATCTGCCTCCTCCGCAACGCTGCCTTCGCGAGGAGTGAGTCATCCTACGTCAAGCGACGCTGGGCCCTGCACTGTTATTTATTTATGCCCAGCCCTCCTCCCTGCCCCCGCGCAGCCCTGACCTCATCGCCCAGAGAAAACAGACGTGCCATTAGACAGGGCTGGGAAGCGCCGTCTTGTTTGGTTTTGTCTGGGGCAGGAGAAAGAAGCCATGAAGTTTGTCATCAAGAAAGAAGCCATGAAGTTTGTCATCCGGCACCTTGCTGGGGTTGCTTGAACTGCCGCTGGCTTCGTTTGTCCCTGGTTGCCCCCAAAAAAGCCAAGGCCGTGCTCCAGGGTGGCATCCTCTGAGGCACCACAGCGCCCATCTCGGGCTGCTGCTCCGTGAGAGCCTCTCTTGGGAAAGGCAGGCCAGGGCCTGCAGCACTCGCAGCCCTGGGGACACCAGCGTCCTGCAGCTTGAGGAGCAACCTCGCACCAAGGAACTTGTAGCCCCCGCGATAATTCAGTAGCCCCCATCTGTTCCCCCGCGCGCTGCCGCCCCGGAGCAGCCCTGCGCCCCCCGCACAACCCAGCGCCTCGCCGCGACGCGCGGGAGGCTGCGAACCTGAAACCCACACCCGCCACTC